AATTGTTGTTACAGTGTGGGTACCCTTGGTGTGTGTGTGTGTGTGTGTGTGTGTGTATGTATATAGTGTGGCTAGTTCTGGATTCTGGGGTTTACACTCATCTCTATGTTTGTGATTTTTGCAAATGTCTTCTTGTTAGTGTAACCACTTTCATCTTTTCATTTGTCCTTTATCTCTCCTGTGTTTGTTGCCCAGAGCTGTGTTAGTCACCCACGCTCGCCCCCTCCGGTCTGTGGCCACCTCCCCCGGGTGCACAGACCATCGTGACTAGCCAGTCGAGCACTGTAGACTTTCCTACTTCTTCTTCCCTCTCACTTGGTCTCCTTTACTTGGCAGACCTCGCTTGGTCAAAAAGGGGCAAGCACATACTAGACCAGCTAAGGGGTATTTGGCTTGTGATATTGTTAAAGAGAGGGCAGGGGAAGAAGCTATGCTGAAAATGAAAAAGTTAGCAAAGATTTCTGTTTTCCAAACGTATAAATCTCTGTCCTTCTGTCTTGTTACTTTACGGAGCTCACATGGTTAATCTTCATGCCTGCAGTTTCTCTCTCTCCCCTTTTTGCACTGTCACACTTTCTCCCACCCCTATTCCCCGCTTGCCTACATTTCTGCATTTCGGAGCTACTGATAAGAGTTAGAGAGAAAATATTCTAATTGTGTAGTATTGTGTACATTGTTCCATACATAGACGTTGTCAGGCAGGTTATGGAGCTATAATTGTGTAATAATATTTTTATTGTTGCCATTTGGATGGCGCCAACAGATTCCGTAGTGCTATATATACTTATAAATTATGTTTTGAGATAAGGTACTGAGGATTGTGGGAGTGACGAGATCACAAGATTGCATTCAGTGTTGAATACGGGATTTAGGAAGGTGTAGCTTGTAGCTTGTTAAGGGGAATATGCGATGTTGTTATGTCTGTATAAGAGGAGGAAAGTGATTAATGGTTAGAGGATGTTAAGGGAAATTGGTTGAATTCCGTGAGTTTATCTTGCTTCATGTTAAAGTACATTTTTCAATGGATAGCTTTATGGGCTGTTAACTGCATAATGTTCTCAACTGTCTTATTTAACCTGCCAGGTCTGTTCGTAGTTTGGTTTTTCATTTTGCAGAACGGGATGTTGCCTCTCTGACTTATTTTATTAGTTATAATATGGTGTATTGTTGAAAGTACGTCAGCCACCACCCTAAAGATGGCGCCTAGTACAGAAGGACCTATCTACAGTCACGGTTGCTTCTAAAGTAACGTCACTTCCGCCCTTACCATGCCCACACCTCCTGTCTTCCTTTCCCACACCTATCATGGACGTCACCTCACTTCCTCCCTTGCTGTCATTTCCTTCCCCGCCCCTGTCATGGCTGCCTCCATCATGAGGCCTACCCCTATCATGCTCGTCCTATTTAGAGACATTACACTCTACATATTATGAACTGAAACGTTATATTACCTAAAACAATCATGCCATTTGTTTCCCTGTATCAGAGATGTGTCCGTGATATTTAAAAAAAAAAAAAAAAAGAAAGAGGTTGCTAAAGAGTCATTTGCACCTGTGGTGTGACCTACAAATGAGTTCTGTAGGGCACGAATATATGAGCATTACAGCTAATTATCCTGATGATTATTCATTAATGCCTGTGTCTTGCAACAAGGGATATTGCAAAATAATGCAAGTTATTTTAAACATTGTATCTTTACTTAATAGAATCTTGCTAGTTAAAAATCGTATGTTTACAGTAACATCCTTTACGTTAAATGACATTCCTCCGCCTCCCTGTCCCCCGCCACCTTTACCTATGCTTGCCTCTCGACTGACCCCTCCCCAGTGTTACCCACTCACCCGTCTCCATCCGCTGCCCCGCTCTCTGCCCTCTCGACCTTACTCACCCCACCGCCCCAGATCCTCCAGACCCTTGTCCTCCCGCTGATCCCGCTTCCCTTATGCCTCCGGACCTCTCTTCTACCTCGTTGTCCCCTCCCCTCCCGACTGATTTGCCGTCCCTAATCTCTGCCCTCACTGCCCTGACCCAGCCCCTCATTCCCACCCCTCCAACCCCTTCTCCAGTGGTACCCCCTCCCGATATCCCGGTCCCCTCTACCTCGTTGCTTCCTCCCCTCTCGGCTGATTTGCCGTCCCTAATCTCTGCCCTTACCGCCCTGACCCAGCCCCCCGTTCCCACCCCTCCAACCCCTTCTCCAGTGTTACCTCCTCCTCCCGAAGTCCCGGCCCCCTCTACCTCGTTGCCTCCTCCTCCCTCGGCTGATTTGCCGTCCCTAATCTCTGCCCTCACCGCCCTGACCCAACCCCCCGTTACCACCCCTCCAACCCCTTCTCCAGTGCCCTCACCGCTCTGGGACCCAATCCCCTATTTCACCCTCCAACCTCTTCTCCAGTGTTACCTCTCCTCTCAAGTCCACTTCTACCTGCTACTTCCTCCTCCCTCGGCTGATTTTGCCGCCCCTGATCTCTGCCCTACTTCCAGGCTACTGCTCACCTCCAACCTCTTCTCTCCAGTGGTGTACCTCCCGATATCCTGGTCCCCTCTACCTCGTTGTCCCCTTCCCTCCCGACTGATTTGCCGTCCCTAATCTCTGCCCTCACTGCCCTGACCCAGCCCCCCGTTCCCACCCCTCCAACCCCTTCTCCAGTGGTACCCCCTCCCGATATCCCGGTCCCCTCTACCTCGTTGCCTCCTCCCCTCCCGACTGATTTGCTGTCCCAACCCTCTACCCACGCTGTTACGACCCAGCCCCCTGTTCCCATCCCTCCGACCCCTCCCCCGGTGACCCCTGACTCAACCATGGCCAATGACCTGTCTAGCTCGATATCCGCCCTCTTCTCTGCTGTTACCTCCCTGGTTAATTCCGCGATTCCTGCCCCGCCTCCCACTGATTTACCTCCTCCTCCTCCACCTCCTCCCACCCTTAATACTCACCTATCACGCCCATCCCAGCCGGCCCCCTGCTTTAGAGGCCCGTGCATACCCTCCAGCTCCTGCTGATGGGTTTGACACGGGTGGTTTCCAAGATATTCAGCTCCTACCTCGACAAAGCCGCCTTGCCCATGCTCCTATGCAGTCCAGCCACCCTCCCACTTCTACCCACCGGTACCAAGGACCCGACCAGGCCCATTTAGATTTACTGCAATAGGTTACCGGCAAGCCTGTGTCAGCAACCCCTGCCATGACCCCTCCTTTTTGTCAGACACCGATGTCTCCTGTGTTGGGGTGGATGGTACACCCCGCAGTAGCCCCTTCCCTACACTCCTGCATGTTGGTTCACACATACTCTCACGTTTTGTTGTTTCTTCTACTTGTCCCATTAACCTCTTGGGTGCTGATGTTCTTTCTCGGCTCCAGGGTCCAGTTAACTACACCCTTATCACAGACAGACACCACTGTACTCTGCTCACTCCCCATCTTGTTGAACCTAACTGACAATACAGGGAGTGCACGGGTCACACCCCCCCCCAGTGCTCTGGATCGTATCCCCCAAGAACTTTGGTCCACCGGCCCGGATGATATTGGACGCTTACATGTACCCCCCGTCCTGGTCCAGCTCCTGCCTGGAGCACTTCCTCTTCGTAGACCTCAGTATCCTCTGAAGCCAGCACAAGCTGAAACCATCACCAAACAAGTTGAGTCTCTGCTTGCCAAAGGTGCCCTCACCAAGTGCACATCTCCATGCAACACCCCACTTTTCCCTGTTCAAAAGCGAACTGTTAAGGGCCAACCCGACCAGTACCGCATGGTACAGGACCTCCGTGCTGTTAATGAAGTAACCATAAAGGACACTGCTATTGTTCCAAACCCCCATACCCTTTTGTCCCAGGTGCCACCCAATTCAACAATTTTTTTCTGTAGTGGATCTAGCTAATGCCTTTTTCAGTGTCCCCCTTGACCCTTCCTGCCATTTTCTCTTCACCTTCACACATGAAGGACAACAATATACCTGGACTGTTATGCCTCAGGGAGCTCAGAACTCTCCCACACAGTTTGCTCATGCCATGTCTCTAGTTTTGGATCCCTGGCAGAAATCTCATCTGGATGTTATTCTACTTCAATATGTTGATGACCTCCTTCTCTGTGCTCCTAATTTGCTTATTGCAGAGCGTGACTCAGAAGATCTCCTATGTTTCCTCGCTGCTGCAGGTTGCAAAACTTCCAAATCCAAGCTGCAATGGTGCCGGCCCTCTGTGGTCTTCTTGGGACATTGTCTTTCCCATGGCACCAGACATCTAACTTCTCAGCGTGTACAAGCTATTTTGCAACTCCCATTACCTGCAACACATCAGACTCTTCATGCCTTCTTGGGTCTTATCACATACTGCAGGTCCTGGATACCCGAAGCATCAAAGCTCATGCAGCCACTCTATGATGCCCTCAGGAGTGAGCCCTTTCACCTCACTGAAGAAACTATCATCTGTTTCCACAATCTGAAAAGAGCTATTGCTTCTGCACCTGCCTTGGGCCTACCCAACTACCAACTTCCTTTCAATCTGTTTGTCTCTGAAAAATCAGGACATGCTTCCGGAGTCCTCACCCAGAAACATGGATCAAGACAACGACCTATTGGCTATTTTTCCTGCATGCTTGACCCTGTTGCGAGAGGTAGTCCCTTTTGCCTCAGAGCGGTGTTTGCCGCCAGCGCCCTCCTGGACAAGACCAATGATTTTGTTCTTGGCCACCACCTCACAGTGTTGGCCCCTCATGACATTACTGCAATCCTGCAACAAACTCAACCTAAGCACCTTTCTTCTCAATGTTACCTTCGTCTACAAACATCCTTACTGTTACCTGACAATGTGAAACTTCAGCGATGTCTCTCCCTGTACCCGGCCACTCTTCTGCCACTTCCCAAGGGGGGAATTGTGCATTACTGGTATAGCCTGGACATCAACCCAGAGGTTTGAGCAATTGTGCATTACTGGTATAGCCTGGACATCAACCCAGAGGTTTGAGCAGATTTGCAGCTGCCTGCACTTGCACCCCCACATAATGAACAATCAGAGGCCCTACTTCACTGCACCTTATGGTTTAAAGACAGACCAGGCCCTGATATGAACTATGAGGAAGAATTATTCCAGCTCAAGGAAATTCCAATTACCCTGACTGACTTGTTATGGGACCCCACAGGTACCATGCTCATCTTAGTCCATCTTCCAGAGAACATGACACATCTCTACCATCATTGGGAAACAGCTATCCCACACATATCTCTCACCAGATCCTCTGACACCTCATGGAAAGACCTAGGCCCGATGGCCAAACCTGGAGTCAAATGAACCAAGAACAACTGACTTCTATGGGGACCAGCAAAAAGACTATTAACTACTGTACAGCAGGGTACCCTAGGTACCACACAGACGTCTGTGAGGACCCACTCATCATAGACTGTGACCCTGATATTTCCCCACTTAGCTGATCAGGCCGCTAAGGAAGCAGCACAACAAGGATGGGAAGTGGACAGAAGAGTGGCCACAGACGCAGTGCCCATCTACACCATGCAGACACTGCCTACGGATCTTAGGCTTCTAAAGGAACAACCAGCTACTGCTACTCCCCAGGAGAAACAAAGTTGGAAGAACAAAGGAGCTGTACTCCGTGATGATGTTTACACTATCAATCTCAAGTTTTGCCTATCCAGAAATATGTATCCAGCGGTGGTCCAATGGGCCCATGGGCCAGCCCACCTGTCAAAACATCTGATGAACTCATTGATTGACAAGTATTTTGAAACACCAGGCATCACTACCTTAACACAGAATTACTGTAAATCTTGTACTATATGTGCTAAATGCAATCCTGGAGAGATTATAAAGACTGCACCTAATCATCTAGCTAAACCACAATACCCCTTCCAGAGGATCCAGATTGATCACATTCAGATGCCAAAGAGTGGACGTTATGAATATGCATTGGTCATAGTGGACATGTTTCCAGGATGGCCAGAGGCCTTCCCAGTGACTAATCTCACCGCGAGGACTACAGCCAAGTATCTCTTGACAGAAATTGTTTGCCGCTATGGAGTTCCAGAAGTAATTGAAAGTGACCAAGGGACCTCCTTCACTGCCTCGCTAACACGGGAAGTCTGGCCAGCACTGGGGGTGACCCTTGCATTCCACACACCATATCACCCACAGAGTAGTGGTAAGGTAGAGCGCATGAATGGCACTTTGAAAGCCAGAATGCTTCAAATGTCACAAGAAACTAACATGCCCTGGCCCGAGAGTCTCCCATTAGCGTTGTTTAGTGTAAGGTACACTCCTAGGGGAAAATATAGCCTATCACCTTATGAGATTTTGTCTGGTACAGCACCCAGGTTAGGTTGTTACTTTCCCCAACAGCTTCAGATTCAGTCAGATGCTATGGTAGACTATGTGACTGCCCTCTCACATGCCTTGACCAAAATACATGCCCAAGTGTTTTCTTCTATTCCAGATCCTGAGTCAAATACAGGTACACACAAGCTGCTTCCTGGTGATTGGGTTATGGTCAAGAAGTTTCTCAGGAAACACACCCTAGAACCAAGATTTGATGGCCCATATCAAGTGCTCCTGATTACAGCAACGTCAGTTAAACTAGCCGGGAAGAGTTCTTATACACGCCTCACATTGCAAAAAAGTGCCTGCTCCAGAAGAGGCTAATCTTGCTGAAATATGAATTTATTATGTGTCTTGTGTTTTCTTATGCTGCTACACTTTACCTGGGCCCAACAAGTGGCCATAACCAAAGATAATCATGTTTACACTTTCTGGTACAATTCTTCTAACACAGATGTAGCTACATACACCTTTGATTACTGTGACATAGTTGTTTGCACCTTTTCCACAAACACAATATGCAGCCATATACAAAGACATACCTAGCAAAAAGGCTCACCTCACCAGACTGGGTAGGAACCACTCACATGACTATTAACACGTCAAAACCACATATTAAGACTCTACATGACATGGTAGCTATAGCCAATCCCACCTTTGAAGACACTATGACAGTAGAGACTGGGTTTTCAGACACTAATTTGTGGCTAGAATGGATGAGATATAACGCCAACTCACATAATAAGACTAACTGTTATGTATGTGGAGGAGCCAGACCCCATCTGGGCACAGTACCTCTAAGCCTACCTCCTGAAGTAGAATTATGTGTTCTGAGTCTTTATGCACAATCCACCACCAACTCCTCAACATGTGAATCATGGAAAAGGGTTTACCCAATCACTCATGGATATGTCAAGCCACCTGATGGAGTCACCATCTATCCAGGTAATTACACATGTTATGCTATACCTAAGAATACTGGTGTGTATCTGGGCAGATTCCCATCTGGATATTGCTCAACCTACCATAGCCCACCTGTGTCACTGCTAATAAATCATGCAAAGACCATTGGAGATATCTATTGGTTATGTGGTGACAGACAATTGAGGTCCCAATTAGCTGAGCAATGGTGGGGGGAGTGTGCCCTAACCAAAGTCATAATGCCTATCCACATTATTCCAGATGGTAGTCATAACACGTTAAACCTTACACATGTACACTCTAGAACCAAACGAGGGGCTCCTATCCGAGGGAGCTTTGACCCCCATGTGTATATTGATGCCATAGGTGTGCCAAGGGGGGTGCCTAAAGAATACAAAGCAAGAGATGAAGTGGCTGCAGGATTTGAATCCCTAATTCCAATGATAACTGCTAACAAAAATGTCAATTGGATTAACTACATTTACTATAATCAACAGCGCTTTGTCAACAACACTAGGGATGCCCTACAGGGCCTGGCAGAGCAATTACAAGCCACTACCCAAATGACATTTCAGAACAGAATGGCCCTAGATATGATTTTAGCTGAGAAAGGGGGTGTATGTAAAATCCTCCCTGAGACCATGACATGTTGCACATACATTCCAGACAACACTGGGCCCAATGGTAAGGTGACTATGGCCATAGAGAAGCTAGATAGTCTTGCAGACGAGCTAAATAAAAATTCAGGAGTCACTGACACTTGGGACAGATGGTTTGGATGGATGAATGGTTGGCAAAGGACCCTCTTCCAGGTAGGGACAGCTGTTCTTATAATGATCATCATTTTCTTATTTCTAACCTGTTGCGTACTCCCTTGCATACAGAAGTACTTACAAAAAGCAGTAGATAAGACTATAGTTGACGTGACCCCTACTTTCCTACATCAGGACGTCACAGACCTTGAAGATGACACACCACATACACCCCTTCAAGCACATCAGTTCAAACAGACAACTGCTTTCCTGTAGGGATAGTATAGGGAAAGCATCTGTCTTGGCAGGCGAGTCTCACGTGTGGAGATGTAGTGGATTAGCCGCTGCGGGTTACCCACGGAGTGAAGTGTTCGATGCCTACTGAGATAGATTAGGAGCATATCATTAGGGATATATTAGGGACAGTAGCAGTTGTTATGGTAAATAGCCATTTTAGGGGGGACTGTTGTGGAAATAAGGTCTACACATATTTCCTAGTTAAAGGAAAATGTCTATTTACTCATCTCACACTATGCTATAGAGTTAAGCACACATGTTTAATCAAAATGGCTGCTAGAAGCTTCTAACCCCTTCCTCCCCCTGCCCCTTTAAACACCGACTAACTACCTCGTGCAGCAAGATGGTGCCGGGAAACCGTGGGAGACCCTCATGGACCTGGTGACATGAAATATTGACATATTTTTAGCTAGTAAAATGTTTATTTACTTCATTTAGTTATACTTAATATTATTCAATAAATTACTAAACTGACCACTAGATGTCACTCAGGAGTACCCCACCCATCGACCAAACACTCTAATTTTCAAGATGGCGCTGGAATCCTGGGGGAGAACTCCATGACGACAGTAATGACATAAGAAGGCACACCCTGTAGGATGTGCTTTGAATAAAACACTTAACACTTAACCAATTATTGATGTATTATTCCATGTTATCTCTGACAATGCTTATGATGTAATTTTGCTTTAAAAGGGACCTGCCGTCCCCTTTGAATAAACTTTTCCTCAAGTTATTCAACAACCTGGAACCTGTGTCTGGTGTGAATTACTTCAGGGAGCGTGCACGCATTGTTTCATTGATTTGGCCAGGGGCAGATACACAAAGAAATAATCAATACTTTAATTGATTTTTCCATTTCAGCAGAGAGAGGCAACGCAGAGAGAAGAGTCTGAAGAAGAGGAGTCAGAGGAAGGTGGCTTTGAGGAGGTGGAAGACCAAACACAGCAGGCGTCCCAGGGGCTATTTGTCACCTTTTGGGGACCCTTGGTGTTGTACGTGGCTGGGTGGAGGAAGAGACCTTCAATGACATCAGTGAGGACAAGGAACGGGACATGGCTAGCTTGGTATCCAACCTTGTGCAAATGGGGAGTTTGCGGTTGTGCAAATGGACTGGTCTGTCACTGAAGCGGGCGTAACCCTTACACTACCTGATCGATACAACATCTTACCTGATGTTTTAAAGCACGTTATTCCAAACAATTTAGGAATGTTAGGTAATTTATGCCCTTTATGGATTAAAACCAGACTCTGTATCAACTATGTAATTTTCCATGAGAGTTTTGCCATGGATCCCCCTCTGGCATGCCACAGTCCAGGTGTTAATCCCCTTGAAACAACTTTTCCATCACTATTGTGGCCATAAAGAGTCCCTGTGGGTTTTAAAATTCGCCTGCCTATTAAAGTCTATGGCGGTTCGCCCGGTTCGCCCGTTCGCGAACATTTGCAGAAGTTCGCGCTCGCCATTTGCGAACCGAAAATTTTATGTTCGCGACATCACTAGTGACATTGTAATACTGTTATCTGTCATAAATCTCTGAATAACACCTCACATGTACATATATTTTTTTTTAAAGTAGACAACCTAGAGTATTCAATATGGGGTATGTCCAGTCTTTTTTAGTAGCCGCTTAGTCACAAACACTGGCCAAAGTTAGAGTTCATAAGTGTTTTTTGCATTTTTAACACACAATCAAATATAAATGCTAACTTTGGCCAGTGTTTGTGATTAAGTGGCTACTAAAAAAAAGACTGGACATACCCCATATTGAATACTCTAAGACTGAACATACCCTATTTGCAATACCTTGGGTTGTCTACTATTGTAAAGGGTATGCCACCATGGGGGCAGTGGTGTATCCTGGTTTTGTGCTGCCCTAGGCAGGAAAAAACTCAGGCGCCCCCCAAGCCCCCAATCACAGCTTCCACCCATCCTCCTTCCCTCTCTGATGCCATCCCCACCCATCCTTCCCTTCTAAATACACACACACCCACTGACAGATACGCTGCATATCTAGGCTAGCCAGAAACACAAACACACTGACACACACAGTCAAACACACACACCTCACTAGCAGAGAGAGACACTCACAGACACACACCTCACACACCAACAGACACACACCTCACTAACAGACACACACACTCACCTAACAGACACACACACTCACCAACAGACACACACACACTCACTAACAGACACACACACACCTCACTAACACTCCACACACACACCTAACACACACTCACTAACAGACACACACTCACTAACAGACACACACACTAACACTCACACACACCTAACACACACCACTGTACAGACACACACACACCACACCCACTAACACTCACACACACCTCTAACACACACTCAATTAACAGACACACACACACACACACCTCACACTCACACACACACCTCACACTAACAGACACACACACTCACCAATAGACACACACACTAATAGACACACACTCACCAACAGACACACACACACTCACTAACAGACACACACACACACTAACAGACACACACACACACACACACCACTAATAGACACACTCACACACACACTAACAGACACACACACACTCACTAACAGACACACACACTAACAGACACACACACACACACACTCACTAATAGACACACTCA